TAAAGAAATTTTTAGATAAAATAGTTAGTAATGATCAAACAGGCTTTATTAAAGGCAGATTTATAGGCGAAAATACTAGATTAATCTATGATATTATGAACTACACAGAAGAAAAAGATATTCCTGGTTTACTCCTTCTAATAGATTTTGAAAAGGCTTTCGACTCAATATCTTGGAATTTTGTGTTACAAACTTTAACCTAATTTAATTTTGGAAACGATATTAAAAGATGGTTCACTATATTGTATAAAGATAGTGTATCTACAAAAAGTCAGTGTGGTTTTCTTTCTGACTTTATTAACATTTAAAGGGGCTGTCGTCAAGGAGACCCTTTAAGTTGTTACATTTTTATCTTATGTCCATAAAAATTAGATCAAATGAAAAAATCAAAGGTATTAAAATAAATGGTATTGAACATAAATTATCTCAATTTGCAGACGATACAACTGTTATACTTAATGGCACTGATGAGTCTTTAAATAAAGTCCTAAACACACTTGCAGATTTTTCTTTATTTTCAGGTCTTTATGTTAATTTTGATAAAACCAAGATCGTTTGGATTGGTAAACTTAAATTTAGTACAAATAGCATTAAAACTAAATGGAAATTATCTTGGAACCAGTCTTCTTTTGATATGTTAGGTATAAAATTTCATGTAGAACTTAAGAAAATGGTGACAATTAATTATGATGAAAAAATAAATAAAATGCGGAAAGTATTATCCAATTGGAAACGAAGAAATTTAACTCCAATCGGAGGAATCGTAGTCGTTAAATCTTTATTGTTATCAATATTCACACATTTATTTACAACTCTGTCAAATCCAAGTCCTTATATAATTAAAGACTTAACTGAAACTTTCAGAGATTTTGTCTGGCATGGTCATTGTAAAATTAAGCAAGAGGTCTTTAGACAAAGTATTGATAAAGGTGGTCTAGGAATGATAGACGTTGAAGCATATATTTACTCTTTAAAGATATCTTGGATAAGAAGAATTTTAGTCAATAATGGTAAATGGATAGGTTTGGCATGCTCAATTTTTGATATAGAGAAATTAATTAATTGTGGTATAGGGTATTTAGAAAGAAAGGTTAGTGAGATAAATAATGATTTTTGGAACGACAATTTGAATGCATAGTATATGTTCTGTAAAATTGTAGAAACAAATGAAAATGAGTTATATTCTCATCCAATTTTCTATAACCCTTTAATATATATTGGCAATCAACCAGTGTTCTTTAAAAACTGGTTTAATGCATGTGTACATGTCATAGGTGATCTTTTGAAATCAAATTGACAATTTTATAGTTTAAATGAATTTAATGACAAATATAACATAAATTCTAACTTTATACATTATCTTGGTATTGTAAATAGTGTATCAAGTTTCCTTTCATCTTATGATAGAACATGCAATGTCCTACATAGACCTTTTATACCACCTTTTTTAAAAGTTATTTTAAAATTTACTAAGGGTACACATCCTATGTATGAGGCATTTATTAAAACCAAGATAATACCTACTTGTATATCAAAATGGTGTGAAAAGCTCAATGTAACATTTAGTAAAGAAGATTGGAGTTACATTTTTTCTTTACCTTTTAAAATATCAAATGATTCAGGCCTTCAATGGTTTCAGTACAGAATTAATCATAGAATAATAGCAACTAATGCATTACTTTTTAAAATGAAATTAAAAGATAACGAACTCTGTAGTTTTTGTAAAAATGAGAAGGAAACATTAGAACACATGTTTTGGTTTTGTCCGATAATAAACAATTTAATATTTTCTGTTTTTGAAAAGTACGGCATTTTCAGATCTTTGCTCAACTGTTGTAATTTTATCCTTGGTTTGAAAGATAGTAATTCAACTGCAATAAATACGATTTTCCTTTTTCTGAAAAGATATATTTACAACTGTAGAGTAAAAGAACAAGTACCAAATACTACAAGAACACATCAGTATATTAAATACCAATTTATAATTTTGAGAGAGAAAGCAATTTACCAAAATGATCTAGATACCTTCAATAAGACCTGGATTATTTTTTGTCAAAAGATAGAGCTATAGTTAACCTTTCATATGTTTGTAAAGCTGAAAACGATAGCCAGAAGTATAAATGATCAAAAATATATTACTTGCAAAACCTGTTTTTCTTTCACTTTTTTCTTTTTCTTTTTTTTTTCATATAAAAAATAAATATATAATTTAGTTCCTTGTTAACTGAATAATATATAACATATGATTATATGTAACATTGGTAAATATGGTTGTAATTGTATATTGATCATAACGCCTGCAATACATTATAATATGTATGTTACTGTTATATTATTTCATATATTTTATATCTTTTTATATACACAAATATAATGTACGGTATAGAGCAGGATGTCCTCGACCTGCATATACCTATTGACGAGGAAAATAAATTATGTAAAAAAACAAAAAAAAAAAAAAACCCGCCTGCTCATGCGTTCATTTTGCAATCTGATGAAACCACATGAAAAGTTCGGCTCGTGCGTTCATTTTGAAAATTCGCTAAAACGATATTATACTCCAAAAATACGGAATAGAAATAGAACAGGCTTTTGGTGGATGAGGATATGTTAATAAAGAACCTTTAGAGCGATACAAATGTTTAGAAGTTTGCTTGGATGTCAAGTTATTGGCTATCAAAGAGCGATTTTACAAATTTTGTGACTTTTATTGTGCAGTTGTCGATAATGATCTAATAAGTTAACAAGATTTGGCGAGTTTGAGATGCCTGTCGGATAAAGTAATCATACGAGATCAGAATAGGCTATAAAGTTTTGTGAAATTTGCATTTTCAAAGAAATTGAAGACAATTTTCTTACCACAGTATCGGTTTTCCACCTGTAAAATTGATCTCTTCATGCGTTCTCCGCCTGGGAAACATAGTGAACGATTGGACTCGGTGGTTCTTCTTAAAATGAATCAAATAATTAATAATAACTTACATGATAGTCATAAAAAGACGAACAACACATTAAATTGATACTTGACATAACTTATTACTAAAACCCATTAATTATCGAAGCATAATGTTTTATCTCTATATTACATTATGGAATATCTGAAAATAAATATTACAACGACTTTCTAAAAGTTCATTCGACTATTCACTACTACTTCGCTGACATGCTTGTGAAATTTGTTTTCCTATTCCAACTGATAGAAGGCTGCTTAGAAACCTGATAAAAATCTGGAAAAGGACATCGATCGCAATACTCCATGCAAATACAATGTTTCGCATAAATCGTCTAATGTATCTAAAAAATCCCTTTCATTTGTATATATAATTTAATCTCAGTTGCAAGAACAATTTGATACTATTGTGGGAATGTATAATAACTAGACAAAATGCGTTGTAGTTTCCAGGTTCGACCTTTACTGATCAACATTCATAGAGGATATTGAATGAGTGTAGTTTAATACTAAATTTATTGAACGAGTTGAATAAAATCATATTATGCGAGCCTCTGGCGAGCATAATATTGTTTTATTCAACGAGTTCAATAAATTTAGTATTAAATCTATACGAATATAATATTTTATTACATGCTTTTCGGTGGTTTATAGAAATATATCAGTGATTTAAAACTGGTAATTTCACTGTTTGAAACAGTGAAATTACCACTTTGATAATTTCACTGTTTTGAATTTAAGCCCCTTACGTTGTTTTAGTGAAATACCAGCGTGCACAGTACTGGGTACCAACTTAATGACGTGACGTCGTAAATGACGTCACGTTGTATTATTATTTGGCGCGCTTTTCATTCAGTTTTAGGTTAAATGTCTTTTTAAAACGTTTCTTTGCATATAATAAAAAGAAAATTTGTTTAGTTTAGTGTAAGAATGAAATATATTTCACCTTGTGAACACCAAAAGTTCATATTTCACTCGTGGCTGCGCCACTCGTGAAATATTCCTTTTGGTGCTCACTCGGTGAAATATATTCCGATCTTACACTGAACTAAACAAATATCCTCTATTTATTTAATTTTACCCATGAAATATGGTGCTATATCAGTCAAATATATTTCATATTTTTTAAAAATAAATATGAAAGTGGGCGGAGTCAAAACTCATATTTATTTTGAGGGACTTCTTTCGCCGTTTTGTTTGAAAAATCTGATAAATACAAAACAACTTTTTCTTGAATATTGTTTTGAAAACTATCTAGCATGATAGAAAATGGTCTAACTAAGAAAATTAATCCGAACACCAATATCTTTAATTCAGTAATTAACGCTGTACAGACGTTTAAAGAGTTGTTTACATGACGTCACAATGTAGCGCCAAACAGCGCGTGCTTACGCATAAATTACTGCGCGCTGTACAATTGCAGTTGGTAGCAAGCAAGGGGATTCGTTACCATTTTCTTTGATAATGAAATTAAATAAAAAGGTTATTTTTTCGTTTTTTGTGAAATATGGTATATATTTTCACTCAACATGATACAATGCAAACAAAAAATATCCTCTTACTATTTATCACATATATAAAATAAGAACAGTAAACTGTTAAAATGGGTATTTTTTCAATGACGCGCCTATAGTGCAACGCTAACATTAGCGCGCTTTAACGCTATGTTTCTATATAGCGCAAATGACGTGACGTCAAAGTGTTATTACACTAGTGTAATATCGTTTTTATTAAATGGCTTTATTACACTCCTGCGCCAGGGTTTATGTGATAAATATATATTATAAACAACAATACAATGTTAAGTCGGAAGTGACGTTAACGTAAGCGCGGAACGTCACGTTATGCAAGGCGCTATAAATGACGTTATCAATTCCCGACATACTCGGGGCGCGAAATGTTATTTAAAGTTTAGTAATAAATCCATAATTTGAACACTTAAGTTTCTATAGTATCTCATATAAAGTATCATTAATAAAGAAACAGTCATAAATATATATATTGAATACAGTCTCTTTTTCATGTATCACCTTTCCTTTGAAATTTTAGATTAATACATTTCGAGGGGGTAAAGTTTTACAATTGCGCGATTTGTGAGTCCATTTTGAGCTCGAATTTTAGCACTTCGAATAAGTCCATCTTTTCCTGGCACGAGTTCTTCAACTACAGCAAGTTTCCATAATAAGCGGGGAACATCGTCGTGGACTAATACAACGTCTCCAACGGATATCGTCTGGTCATTTTTGCCAGTAGTCTGATGACGTTCTCGTAAAGCTGTCAGATATTCGTGACGCCATCTATCCCGGAAGTGGTTGATTAACTTCGTTTGTATTGTAGCCTGTTTGATAACTGATGAACGGTCACTTAACTTATTAATTGGCGTTGGGAATGTACATGAAAGGACATCTTCATAAGGGAGTTTGGTTATTCGTCTGCCATAAAGTAAGTGTGATGGTGTAAGTACTTCCGGTTCATCTGAATTACCAGAACACACATATGTCAACGGCCTATCGTTAATCATTGTCTCGATTTCTGTGATTACAGTCTGTAAAGTTTCGTAGGTTACATAGGAACGTCCTAGCATTTTCTTTATTGTTGTTTTCGTCAGACCTATGAGACGTTCTCACATTCCACCAAACCAAGGGGCGCGTTTAGGTATCATATTACACTCAATTCCTCTGTTGTTGAGTTCTTCTCTAACTGTGAGTGAGTGAAACAAATCTCTCAGTTGTTTTGAGGCTGATATGAAGGTGTTAGCGTTTTCTGACATCATGACATAAGGGACAGATTTTCTGCTACAGAAACGTCGGAAAGCTTGTAGGAATGATTCTGCTGATAAGTTTGAAACAAGTTCTAGGTGAACTGCTCTCGTAGTAGCACATGTAAACAAGCATAAGTAAGCTTTTATGTCTCTTTTGTTACTATCCCGAACCAGTAATGCTCCAGAGAAGTCTACTCCTGTATAAGTAAAGGGTTTGACGTCAGAAACTCTACACTTTGGTAATGGAGGTGGGTCAGGTGCTGAATAGGGTTTCCCAATAACCTTTACACAACATGTACATTTACGTAATATGTTTTTAACAGTTTGACGAATCGAAGGAATCCAGTACTTCTGTCTTAAGAACGTAATAGTTGAACTAGCGCCGGCATGCAATAATCTGGAATGTGCGTCGTTGACAACTAACTTTGTAAAAGGATGCTTAGCTGGTAGTAGGTACGGGAATTTGGTCAGCTCGTCTAATGGAGCATTGTGGATACGACCACGGCACTTTAATATGCCATTGTCTAAGAATAACTGAAGTTGTCTACATAATGGAAGTTTGTTTCTTTTTGATTTTGTATCTTCTATTTCTGCTTGATATTTGGACATCTGGCAACATCCTATGCACACCTCCTCAGCTCTGAGTAGTTCGTCTGTAGTTAAAAAGTCTAATCTTCCAGTATGACTCCCGCCTCGACACTTGAATATAAAACGCAGGACATAAGCTGTAACCCTGAGCAGTTTTCTTAAGGAACTGAATCTTGACATGTCTATGAAACTGATGTTGCTTAATGGTAAAATTGTATCTTTTGGCTTGGTTGCTGGGTCAATAAACGTTGTCATGGTAACGTAAGTATCTTTTTCTTGCCAAACTGGCCAACTGTCGGGTGTGGTAAGCCATGTAGGTCCATGAAACCATAGATTGCTGTTCTTGAAGTGAGTCACAGAGATTCCCCTTGTAAGTAAATCGGCAGGGTTTTCTTTCGTCGGACAATAATTCCATTTCCGGTTTTCGGACAGCGCCTGGATTTCAATCACTCTGTTCCTTACAAATCGTGGAAGGGTTTTAGGCGTCTGAAGCCAAGAAAGCACAATCTGGCTGTCTGACCAAAGGTATATCTGTGTTATGCTGGTGTTTTGCTGCAGGTGTTTACTGAGTCGGGATCCAATTACTGCCGCCATTAGCTCTAACCTAGGTAACGTTAACTTCTTCAATGGAGCAACCCGAGTTTTAGCCATTACCAGAGTAGATTGGTTGTCTCTACAGATGTAAGCCGTAGCACCATACGATACCAAGCTAGCGTCGCAGAATATGTGAATGCACGTGTTTCTTGATGTGTTTAATGTATTTTCTAAGTAGTATCTAGGAAACGTAGTTTTTGTCACGGAATTCAAATCTGTTATTCAACTATGCCATTTTTCTTGAATACTATCAGGTAATGGCATATCCCATTCAAACTTCTGTTGCCATAACTCCTGTAGAAGTAATTTAGCTCTGATGGTAACTGGACTTAGTAAACCCAAGGGATCATAGATTCGAGATGTATGCTGCAATATTTCTCTCTTTGTTACAATCTGGGTATTTGGTATGTTTCTGACTGGATACAGTAAAACGTCACTATTTGTGTCCCATTTCATTCCGAGTATCTTAGGAGTTTGTGCATTATCTATTACTGAATCGTTGATTGCTTGTTTTTGAAGCATTTTACTATTTGAACTCCAGGACCTAAGGTTAAAACCTGCAGATGACATTAGCTCACGAGACTCGGTGTAGAAGTGTAGAAGTTGTTCTTCCTGTTGGAAACTTTATATCACGTTATCAACGTATAGATCTTGACGTAGGTATTTGCTAGCCTTCTTGTCGTTGTTAAGTTCAAGGTGCTTAAGTATAGTTGCGCAGAGAATAAAAGGGGACGATGTAGCCCCAAAAAGGACTGCTCGGAATCTATATGTTGTCAATTCGCTGTTGGGGTTACTAGGATCACTGAGCCATAGAAATCGCGTCACATCTCGGTCGTTCTCGTCAAGAGTGATGTTGAGGAAAGCTTTCTCAATATCGGTTGCTATGGCGTATTTATTCATTCGAAAACGAATAAGAATTCCAGTTAAATCATTCAGCTCAGGTGGTGTCGACATCAAGCAATCGTTCAAACTAGGCTGGTCACGTGACTTACAACTGCAGTCATACACGATGCGGATAGGTGTCGTGTTCGAGTCCTTCTTTACATAATGATGTGGTGTATAATGTACAGGGTTAGATGTGGTAACATTTGTATCACATTTTTCAATAAAACCGCGTTTTAACTGATCTTCTATGATTTGTCCATAGTTTTTAAGTATATCCGGTTCTGTTGAAAGCCGTTTAATTGTGTTTTCTGTACGCTTTCTGCAAATTTCGTAATTTGTATGAAGTACGGAATGATCATCTTGCCAGGGCAGTTTTGCAACATAACGTCCATCTTTGTACGTGATACAGTTCTCTTTATACTCGTTAAGTAAACCGGAAGGAGATTTCTCAGTATCATCTTCTAATATCCCCATAGATTCTAACTTCCAGAATCTCTAAAGATCTGTGGTATTAGGTGGCGCTGTTACAACATTAAACATATATCTAACAGACGACGTATTTTTAACTTCCGGAAGAGGTCCTGACAGTAAATAACCGAGCTTTGATTTCACTGCTGTAGGTCCGTTGCCCCTAACAACCTTATTCTGCACGATCTGCCAAAAATAGTCGGCTCCAATCAAGAGTGATATCTCGAAATCGTCGTCAATGTCGGTAATAGGATGTGCAAGTTTAAGACCTTCGATATATTTCAGAAATTTCATATTTTTCTGCAAGTTAGGTAATGGTACAGCAATGGTTGGTACAATAAGTACGTCAAGTGGTATGATCTCTCTATGTTCGACGTGTAGAAACACTCTGCCTGTGGGTATATGACGACACTGTTCTGATTTGCCACCAAAAGATGCTAAAGATATAGTGTCTGAACCGTTAGGTTTAAATTTCAGTTTCTCAGCAAGCTCTTCCGTAATAAATGACCTTTGAGCACCTTCGTCAAATAATATGTTTGTATTAGTTATGGTATGGTCTTGGGAGCTTACTTGAGCGATAGCAGTCTTGAGTAGAATGTTCGATCTTTGATGCGTAGTTGAATGAAGAATAGCAGTTCCTGCATTTCCTGTTTGTCCGGAAGTAAAGCTTATAAATGATGTTGCATGTGGGTTCAAATCGACGTTCGGTGGTTGGTCACAAATACTAGAGTGGTGCTTTCGCTGGCATTTCTTGCACCGAAACTTAGAACGACACTCTGAAACTTGGTGTTTTCCCAGGCAATTATTACACATACGTTTAGATTTAATGATAGTTAGTTTTTCTTCACGTGTTTTAACTTTTTCACAATCAAGCGACTTGTGGTCACCTTCACAGAACAAACATAATTTCTTACCCTTATCATTATCTTAGATGTGTATTTTTTCTTTCCGGTTCCGGTGAATAATGATGCCGTCGGCAAGTGTGATTCTCTTATTTCGTCAGTTATGCCCATTTCTAGGATGTTTATTTCTCTGGCGATAGAAGTTCTCAAATCTTGTATGTGCCATCGTACATTTCCGTGTTCTCGAGCTAAATTTTGTCGTATTTCGGAGGGAAGTTTTTTCATGATTATGGGTATTAATAAATCACCATAGGAACCCTGACTCTCACCTAAAGATTCTAAACCCCGGATGTAGTTTTCCATTTTATCGTGAAACCTGCGTAGACTCGTTACACTGCTGTCTGGTATCGGCAAATCTAAAAGCGACTGCATGTAACTATCTATTATTTTATGAGACTGTCCGAATCGTTCTTGTAACAAATCTATTGCATTCTGGTAATTTCCGTTAGTTAATGGAAAACCTGCTATGGCGGTATATGCAGTATAGTGTAGTAAGGAACGTAAATAGTTGAACTTTTGGACATCAGATAGTGTTTGATTCAAATGTACAGCAGCCTCATACGAGTCCCAGAATGACTGCCAGTTTTCAACATCTCCATCAAACGTAGGTAAACTCAGTTTAGGTAGTCTGTGAAAAGATGAATTATCAGACGACACTCTGTGGCTATGATAAGAAAAGTTCTCACTTGATAAAGTTCTAGCACTACCGTTAATGTCCTGTGAATTACGGATCACGCTACCGCTGCTAGTGTTATTAGATTTGGTAATATCTTCCTTCAGTTTTCGTAGTTTCAATCGTAAATCAATTGAATATTCGTCACTCTCTACCAATTCTGTTTCCAAATCGTCAATATCTGCATGATTAACAATCTTATCGTTGAGGTTCTTGATAATCTCGGCTTTTTCTTCCATGATTTCGAGCAGGGCTGACTTCTCCGAAAGTGACAACTGGTCGTTGAATTTCTCCAGTTGTCTTGAAATAAGACGTCGCTGGTCCCCTCTACTGGTCGGAGACCATCAACCGGACACTTTTGGAACATTTTTCCGTACAGATTTCATAATTTTTAACCTAGAGACCAAAAAATTTGACACAGTTCAGCTAGGTTCTTCTACTAACTAATAAACTAGTTTGTTTATTTCTGATTTTATTGACAATTATATCTGAGGCTCAACAAGGAGGGTATCAAAATTACCTAAATTGTCTACACTACAGTACCATGTGTCCGGACAGATATGTACATGATGTGATTTAATTCAGATAAAAGCCTGGGTGTTTTGATTTTTAACATGATATACAATATGTCAGCAATAAATGCTGAAGTTTTGGATATTCTATTATTCACTTTGCAAATGATTATAGCTGGTATATGAGGTCAGACATTGCTTTCTTGACCCCCGAATTTCAACGTTAACATTCTTGAAATAGACATTAAAATATTACCATTTACGGAGGTTGAAATAAATTCATTTACTTAATTTTGAAAGAAACATGCACTTATTGCCTATAAAAAAGTGACTGACAACCACTGAACAAAGAAAATACTAAATTTAGCATTTTCGGGGCCGTCCGGGTTTGGTGGTTGTCCGGTTTTGGTGGTCCCCAACCAGTAGTAGAAATAAGCTTCTGTAAATTCATTGTGATTGTAGAATTTCTCACGGCACCAACAATATGGGGGTGTATAATAACTAGGCAAAATGCGTTGTAGTTTCCAGGTTCGACCTTTACTGATCAACATACATATATATTATAAACAACAATACAATGTTAAGTCGGAAGTGACGTTAACGTAAGCGCGGAACGTCACGTTATGCAAGGCGCTATAAATGACGTTATCAATTCCCGACAACTATTTATACATGTCATCTTTTTGGCATCGGCTGGTACGAAAGTCAAAAAAGTAGTGAACTAACCTTTAGAATCTATATATTTGCAAAGACAGGAAAATAAATATTTTGAATTCGACAGAGTTTATCTTCCTAAGAGAGAATTGTTAGCTATTTGAGGTGGAGGCTTGCATTTAAACTCGGTTGATGCAATTCTTTTTATCAATACTGTTGCTCATATGTAAAATAATGTGTAGGCTATGCTTTACTTTGGGTCTTTCCGAGATTGGTAATACTGTAAAAGTTGGGATATGCGGTCTTATTGACACATTTCTCGTTTCTCTCCTTCTCTTTTTATTTTTTTTTATTTATTTATTTATTTATTTTTGTTTATGGTGCTTCTCCTGAAAAAGATTCTTGTAAATTAATCTTTTTTATTCTTTACAAAGAAATATCTTAACATTGAGAGCGAAGGCGATGAGGACAGAACTAAGGTGGACATGTACTTTATGTGACATGAGTTATTTTTCCACTCATTTATTTAAATAAGTAAGTTTTGAAGTTCATGAAACAATACAAAAGTTTGTCCTGACAACTCATATACCACTAAAGGATTGATCGGTAGCTCAAGTACTTGCGCGTGTTACACGGGTTTTCCTTCTGAATGTTTTAGTTGAGTTATGGCCCTTGAACAAAAAGGTGTTTATAAAGTTTGTCTTGACTACATCTATTATACCACCAATGCAATTTCATTTTAAAATATGTACAGGGTTGTTCGGTAGCTCAAGTAATTGCGCATATTCTTCCAGTTTAATGAGTTTTGTTGAATTATGATCCTTTGATAAAAAATCGTGTTATGCCATTTAATGACTTTTGTGCCTCCTGCTACACAATAGCTGCCACATGCAATTGGCTATCATGAGGCGACACATGTGATCACTGATCGCTCTTGTTTTTGTGATAGTTTCAGTTGTGCAGGTACGTATATTAATAAACGTACCGAGTTGTGCTAGTTCCAAGTTTTGTAGCAATGGCATTTGATTTAATTGAGATTTTTATCAAGTTTGTTAAAGGTTAATCTATCGAGGGCTTTCTAGGCTTTATATGTTTGGCTGCTATTAGATTTTTTTTCTGTACCAATATCCTTTTTAAACAATAAGTTGATTCGTTGATTTAGTAGAAATTTTAGATCAAAATTTGATTCTAGTGATGCTAGGGTGATTTATGCAGGTACGTATATAAAAACATGAGTCTTATATTTTTTGATGTTCTAAGTGTATTTACTTATTTACTTAACATATATGTATTTGGTCCACTTGTGTCCACTTTCTGATTTGAGTTTATTTGTTTGGTGGTGTGGATGCCAAGTATACGAGATTTTCATTCTAGCAGTATATTTCTAAGACTACGTTCGGTCGAATAATGAACTAATCAGTACACAAGTAGGAGGAGCTTAGTAATCATATTTGAAGGTAATGCAGCAATATACATTTAATAGAGAATTAGATATGACCCCCTCTCACACACACACCATTCGGCAATTTTTATAAAAATAATATGCATTGACCTGAATCAAAACAAGCCTTTTGACGTGTTGGTCTTTCTTTAGAATTTTTTTCTCTGCTTTAAACTGTAAGATATATATGAACTGATTCTTTTGAAAGTCTGCTGTTATATTTATTTGTTTTTTTTTTATTTTATTTGTTTTTATTTATACATTTTAGGAACATAGCACATGATACAAAATATAAAATAATACAGTTAAGAGATAACATATATAAATCATTTACAAATGTACATGTATTTAAAATGAGATCATATTTAACAGCATAAAAGAGCACACTTTTGTCATAAAAAATAAAATTAAAGGTACTATGCACCTATGGATAGCCCATTAAGCTAAATGCTTATTTCCAATGGGGTCCATAGAAATAAAAAAAACAAACAAAAAAACAACATAATTTACCCTTCCCCCATTCCCCCCCCCCCCCCCTCCAACAAAAAAAAGCCAAAAAAAAAAAACCCAACAAGATAGAAACTAAACCAACTAACTTGGGTCAAAATTTTGGTTGAAAAAGGAAATATATTTATAAAAGTATGCCCTTTTTAAAATAAGCCTAGTGTTACTATCACAGAAATATTAATTGATCACAGTGCCAAACACATTAGTTGTACACATATATATCTTCTGAAAGACTTTTATAACTTTCTAGTAGGTACTTTTAACAGATTTTTTGTTTTTCACAAAATTATTAATGGATTTTATATATTTTGGCAGGTCATTACAGTCTTTAATTCCATTATGATAAAAGGTTTGATTTCAGTTATATAGAAAGTATGCACTGACTTGACGGACAAACGTTTTGACTGTACTTTTTGTAGTGTTTAACCTATATATTTCACTCGTACGGAAAAGTACGTGAAATACGGCTTGTGTTGCCGTAAATGACAGTTCCTCCGACGAAAGAGTAAATTAATAGATTTTTCGTTTTTATAGTCTTAACTGGGCAATATATTTATACATATTGATAAAACACAACATTTCATATAATCTATGAAGCAGTTTGAACTCCCCGTTTCATTTGATACAGGGTGTTGTCCAAAATTACAAATAACCTACTGCCATTCGCACTCAATAATTGTCGAACTGTTGTGATACACTCGGTGTTTAAGGTTGTTAGGACCACAGATATATATGTACAATAAATATCTATATTTGGCTCCATGTTAGAACCTTGCTTTTAAACTTTAAATAATAACAGAATTGGAAATGTGTAGTTCGTTGATAAATAATAATATCACCTTAACAGTGAAAGACTTTATTTATGTCTGTGATTCTAATCAAAATCAAGTATGAGAGCAACAATTAAAATAGTTAATGATTGACAGGTACCTAGAGTCAGTGTATACCAAGTGCCGCACAGAACCCTGTTACTGCACACTTTAAATGAATTTACTTTGTTTTCATTTATGTTTCTTTCAACAAGATATGACATCATCTAGGATCTTGCTGTCAATACTCTCCCTTGAGAGTGCAGACGAAAACGTAGATTTATAAATGTATCTGGCTATGTGAATCACACAAAACAATAACTTATTCAGTAGATGTGGGCGGTTTAACCGGTATACCGGTAAACCACGGTCCAAGACATCTGCGGTACGTACCGCGGTACAGACCTGGAAAACCGGTACTTTTAGCTCTAATTTAAAGCAATTTAAGATCCGTAAAATGTACTTAATTAAAAAACTTTTTCTGTTGTATATGTTAATGTTTCTTTGAGTAAACCTTTTTGCAAACAACTTTCGCCGACTATTATCATTCTTCGATAGTTCTTAGCGAAAATTGAATGCTTTATCGATTACCGCATGTAAGCCAGAATTGTCGACTGGCATGATCACAGTTGAAGAAGCAAGAATTGTTGACTTAGTTACATTTCTTGTCCAAATATCGCTTATTTGATACGAAAACTAATCGTAAAGATTGATAATTCATGAAGGCATTCCTTGCATAAAATTAGGGTGTTACTATTTTAAGTATTTATATAAATAGCGACCAATCAGGCTAGGGGTTTTCCTTACGTCACGCACTTACTGCATGCGCATGGTAATTAACTAATTATAGAACGGCGTAGAAACTGGATTAAAAGTAATGTTCGTTCAACTAATGAATATTAATTAAGCAGTAACATGGTCAGCAGTTTTCTATGTGATCATTTTAATTTGCTTTTGGGGTACATGTTTGTTTTGGTTTTTGACACAGATTAATTAAATACTTTGCCCTTGCAATAAAAAAATACAATAACAGCTGGGACTCTGTTATAAAATTAACCGACAAATAAATATTTGTCATTGGCTAACGTGCGTTTGACCTATTATTTTATTAATCAATAAGCAATAAAAACATTTTATTTTTCCATTTTAACTATGCAATTTATACAACAGTTGTTAAATGTTGAAAGAGACCAATATGTAATTAAAAAACAACAACAAAAAAAACTGATCCATGACCCAATTAATTTATGATTGTCAACATGCGAAAGTACCTGATTGAAGAAAGTTAAATGATGCTTTGATTAATTAGTATTTTCTAGATCTGCTTAGATTTAATATTTGAAATTCTATACCAGCCTACCTTAATTGATACTTATTATTAACCTATAGCATACAATGAAAATCCGTGGTATACCGCGGTTTATACCGTGGTTTTTAGGAAAAAACCGTGGTATACTGTGGTATTTTCTTTCTGGCGGTACCCAACTCTATTATTCAGCAAGTAAACCATGCTAATTTCAATTTTAATATTGAGATTATACAATCATTTTAAGATATATTTGAATTTATTTATGGCAAATTTGCTGTTATGAAATATATGCACATGAATTAACATCTCCCAACTACCAAATGTCACGTCGAAATGACTTGACCTTTATTTTTTGTTTAAAATAATAGCAAATTTTAACTTTTAATTGAACAAGTCATAACTAAATAGTCAATAATAGATGAAGAAACTTTCAATAATAAATTTTTATGTCTATGTTTACTACCTGCTAGTGGTTAAAAAGTATGTTTCCTTAGTTTACTGTTTAATGTTTTCTTTGTGCTACTGTGCTTGCAAGTAGATGGTTGTAGACTGTAGTAAGAATGGGCATTAAATTTATTTGAAGTCCTGAAAATTTGTAAAAAGGTATATCTGAGCTGGAATTGAAGAGGCTTAATAATTTATAAAACATGTTTAAGATGTAAAATAACATTTCAGTATAAAAATGACCTTGTGTGCGTTTGCTTAAATGAAGCGCGCCTAAAAGTATAACCTACTTCAGATAGAAACGTTTTATTGGCATAGGACATAATTTTCAAAATAATGTCAATTGCAGTGAGTACATACATGTTATATTAAATGTGTATGATGCATGGGATACTGTATTGTTTTCAGGAATATATCAAATTTACATACATGTTCAAATGTACAGCACCCTCAATGTGAATCTGTGAAAAGAATATGTTTCCTTGGTTTTTACTATTTGAAATAGTAAGAGCCAAAAATGTTTAATGCCATAATTATGTTGGCATATGCAACTTTTAAACTTTTCATTGTTGTCTTTAATTTTTTTATTGCTGTTTTTATTACTTTTATTTACCAGACCGAAATGCTGATACTATGTAGAAGGAATTGTTCTGAGGTGTGACAGTGAGAATGATGAAAAATCTATGTGAATCAAAGAAATCTTTCTGTTTGTGTGAGTGAGGAGGTTACAAAGATGACAAGTCTCGAGGATGAGGCGATTGTTGAAGAGACTCAAACTGTTGAGCTTCATATGATGGAGATGAAGAAGTACCTGCCCATGTGTGTATGTAGTGGTTTGTTTATGAGAAGTGTCCTCTATCCATACAGTGTTATCAAAACAAGGCTACAAGTCCAGGCAGGAAAAGATGTTTATAAAGGGACATGGGATGCTGTGAAATGTATATCAAGAACTGAAGGTTTTAGGGGTTTTTACTCAGGGTTCGGAGTTCATCTGTTTTCAATTATACCTGGTTTTTGTTACATCAGTTCATATGAAGGTGTTCGCCACTATATGAATACAAAAACCAACTGGAATCAGGGATGGGCTAAATCCCTTGTTGGAGGATGTGTAGCTTCTGTAGTAGGACAGACTTTAGTGGTACCAATTGATATTATAAATCAGCATATCATGTTGTTAGGTAAAAATGATGTCAAAAAAACAAAAGCCAGGGAAAAATTAAGAACTTTGCAGGAAATTCACATTCCAGATGAATTACGACAGAGACGATTCGGAACTATTAAAGCTGTGATATCACATGTATATAAAGCTGATGGAATACTAGGATTTTATAAAGGGTACTTTGTCTCCATAGCAACCTTTGCACCAAACAGTGCGCTATGGTGGTTCTTCTATGAACTATATAAAGGTAAGTAAATTGGTTGACAAATAGAAGTTGTTTTTTTTTCTTTGGATATCACTTTTTAATTTCAATTATTAGGTTTGTACCAGTTATTGAAACTATGTGCAATATAGAGGACTTAGAATTTAATAGCAGGACAAGTTGTGATAGCTTAGTCCCTTATCTGTAATCCCTAAACCCCTTTGTAGTTAAGTAGGGGCGTAACAATACGGCAAAAACCGTATTACAATATATTGCCATTTTGCTGAAGCGTATTGCAATATATTGCAATACACTTCAGCAAAATGGCAATATGGTCGTGTATATGTCTTGATTTAAAGATGAAGTAACATTATATATTATTATTATATGTATATATTTTTAGTAAAAACTTAATAAAAATGTAAGGAATAAATAGAAAGTACATGTAAAGTGTCACACAATTTGATAAACAAAACTAGTCACGTGTGACCTTTCACATCTGGGCCGCTTATGTAAATTATGCGGCCGCTTATTGATTTTTAAGTGTACTAGTTGTCGGATACTTTAACCTTACGTTGGCGCCAATAAAATTCGCCAATTAAAGATTTTATGTGACATTTGTACAAAATTAGAAAGCAATTAATTGAAAATTATGATTTTTACAAAATACCGGTTTTCCAAAAATCGTACCGCGGTACGAAATTAATTTTTTCATATTGCAATATATCAGTATACCAGTAAACCATTACACCCTTATAGTTAAGTATTTGGTCAGTAACAAACCATTAAATAGATTTATTTCATTGAGAATCTTCCGTAGATCTGGCATCATATATGCTATGATCACAGAAGATAAACAAGTCTAGTTCCTGTTCGCACAAAAAAGGTACTTGTAAGTTAAAATAGAAAGGCTCTCAAGAAAGTTATAGTGATTAGAAATAGCAGATGATTATCATCACAAGACATATTACTCTAGGATTTGTAGACGCTTGCGAGAAGGTTACAGTGATTTCCTTTATCCACTGTCATGATATAGTATTATTAATAAGTATGCTATAGCAGGGACATTACACCTTATATTTTTATTAATGTAAGATTGAATCTTTAGTAGAGTGCAATGATCTTTATAATGTGATTGATTATATATGTAGTACATTGTACCGACATTATTATACTATAATCTTCCAGTATAAGTCTAAGTGAATGAGTAATACTAAGTCACATCAACACCGGGACAGGTTTACAATACTTTATTTATGTCCACTTGTTTAGGTCAATACATTGTACTTTACCTGCATGTAGGATTAAACGTCAAAATTGTCTGTTCCCTTCTATAGCACTTTTGTACCTGAATCAATGTGCAGAGGTATATATGAGGTTTTTTTACTATAGATGGGAAATCACCACATGACATGTCAGTTTTACTTGTAATTGGATAGCTAAAGATATTTAGCTAAACATTTTTTCTTCAGATAATTGATACATGGAGATAGAATTGAAGGGTATAAAAGTGTCGTTGTTATTCAAAAGTGTACTTTAATGGAGATACATGTTTTATATATTTACAGAGAAATTCCTGTCTGTGATCCCGGAAGCTGTGCCAAGATTATTGGTGATGTCGTGTATGGCGGCTCCGCTGGCTGGAGTGTCATCTGCAACTCTCACCAATGGGGTAGATGTCATCAGGGTTAGGATGCAGGTTTGTGATATGATAATGATTTTACTATTCTAACACAGTTTTGATGTTATTTTTAGCAATTTTTAAACAATGCATTTTGTAACATACAGTGCTACAGATAACATTTTGTATAGATTGGGTGATTACCCCTTGTTTTGTGATCTATTTGGTTTTTTCTATTTTCTTAGAGTTATTTCTGTATTTTTTACCCTACCCTCTCTAACCAATTTGGGTTTTAAGGCACGAGTTCATGTATTTTACCAAAAATTTCTAACTGTTGTATGTTTTGTATGGTCATAGAAAAGCTACTTACTACTATCCTTTATGGTTTATTGGCCTATGAGATTTCCAAGCTGCCTGATATAATTCAAAGGTTAAAAAAGTTTGAAACAGTATGATCTGCCTGATGTACGGCGTTAAGTATAACTTACGTCTTTACCCACCAGTTCCAATCTCCTTTGCATAAATAAGAATTTATTTACTTTTTCTCACCCTTAGTTATTATTTCTATTGGGTTTTTTTACATATTAATTGGGTAATAATGCAAATACCCCTGTTATCTGTAGCCCTGAACATATTTAGATTAGAGCTAGGATCTAGCTCAAAAACTTTGCTGGATGAATTTGCAAGTCACAGTTGTCAGCATCCACAGACTTAAAATTTGTCCTTGCTATTGACATTGCTCGTTTAGTTTTTAGCTCGACTTTTCTATGAAAAGGGGAGCTATCCTACTCGCCCCGGCGTCGGCGTCGGCGTTAGCGTTGGCGTCACACCTTGGTTAAGTTTTTCGTACCACCCCACTTTATTTCAGAAGTATTACAAGTATGGCTTTGAAACTTACCATACTTGTTCACCATCATAACCTCCATCTACAGACAAGAGTACATAACTCTGTCAAGGTTTTTGACAGAATTATGGCCCTTTTTTGACTTAGAAAGTGTATTGAGCTTGGTTAAGTTTTTTGTACCACCTCACTTTATTTCAAAACCATTGGAGGTATTGCTTTGAAACTGACCATACTTGTTTACCATCACGACCTTCATCAACAGACAAGAGGACATAACTCTGTCAAGGTTTTTGACAGAATTATGCCCCTTTTTGACTTAGAAAATACATTGAATATGGGTAAAATCCACTTATTGCCTTAACCCTTTGAGATATTGCTTTGAAACTTTTAATGCTATTTCACATCATTACCCCCATCTGTACGCAAGAGAAGGTAACTCTGTCAAGGATTTGTTTTAAAAATTAAGGCCTTTTATCGACTTAGAATCTTGGTTAAGTTTTTAGTACCAGTCCACTTTTTGACTGAACTGTTTGAGATATTAATTTGAAAGTTGGAATACTTGTTTACAATCATGATTCCCAAACATGTCCAGGAGAAGGTAATTCTGTCAAAGATTTTATTTGAATTATGGCCCTTAACTGTCAATGTTTTGTATTATAGGCAAGCACTAAAAAACTTAAAAAATCTAAAAAAATTCATTCCTATCCACTTGTTCACTTTACCATAAATTATGTCATATAAACATTGCTGAAATATTCAAGGGTATTGCCTTTTACTGCAAAAACTTTTTTTATTGGCAAGCAATAAAAAAGTCGAGCGCGCTGTCTTACGGACAGCTCTTGTTAATCGGGATCTAACTGGTGTCACTGCTGTGGGTCCGAATCATGACAGGGACTATGGATTCTTTCATGTTACATTTAGCCATATCGGTGGTTTTACTGAAGAATCCATTCATGCCTGAAATAATCATGCACCAAGGGGAACCTGATTTCTTCCGCCTCCAAAGCTGGCAGGTCACTTTATGACCTATACTGTGTTAGTGTGATGTGAAACCTAACCCTTATAAAACTTTAATCAACATTGAAGGTATAATTAAACTAAATGTCATTATAATTCACATGCTGGTTGTTCAGTGATATGTCATTTTGTTACTTTAGAAGAGAACATTTTTAAAGTAAAGAATTATATTTAGGCCCTAATTAGTACATATATAATGGAATACATCAAAATCACTTCCCTTTTTATAATATCTACAATATTCATCTTTAAAAATGTATGTATATGTATTAACTGTAATTACTTGCATGGAACTGTAATGTTTTAGATTTAAGGAGTTAAATACAGATTCAGTAAGATCTTCAGATGATTTTACATCTATACCTCACAGCTAACATTGACAAATAAATCTGAGTTCATAATTATATGAATTATGTTCATTTGATTCAATGAGCATATATTATTAATTTGCATGCCTTCACTTTACTTGTGAAATTTGTAATACTATATAGCAACATACTTTAGATAAAGGACCAAATGACAATATTACATTGTATTAATGTTCATGTATAATGTAATAATAATATTTTAACATCATTCTAACCCTTCTGCTTGACCCTACTAAATTGTGTGTGGTTTGTTTAATAAGCAGTAAATCTACAAAATTATTGTTTTACATTATCCATAAATAAGCTTCATATCACATGGGGATGGATAAAAATTCTACATATTTGCTCACTTTGCTTTCCTTTGAAAGTTCTACTGTAGCAAAAATGCTTTGATTTTAATCTGGTTGTTCTGTGTTCCATTACCCAACTCTGGTTCACCTTCAGTTTGATTAAATTGTTCCAATAAAAGATTGGCCGGTAGGTCAGAGATTTTTAGCTGACTAATCAAATTCCATGTTTTGGAGAGGCATTCAAGCAAATCATCATCTGTAGAAGAATTTCAACACAAAAACAATGCACAGATCTTTCAAATGTTCTTTGTATGGTACATCTACATTTGCCAGTTTTAGTAAATAAATCTATTCTAGGCTTCGAGTTTTTTACCTTAGAAAAACCTGGGTGCCTCTGTTTTTACCAGTATCTTGAATAACTACAAAATATGTAATAATTTGTCTACAAATGGTGGAAAATAGATTAAAAATTGATTCAGCTTCAAGAATGTAATAGCTAGGCCTTGATGGGAATGACATCTTTAAAAACACGCAACTTGTATTACATGAGGGTTAAAGACAGGTTTTTTTTAGTAGCACACGTTTAAACAGTAGATAACCCTGTCTGATATGTAAGACATTGTTGTTTATAATTGTTGATACTTATAGGCAGAAGAGTTTTGTTTATGAGATACACAGCTTATTGTACTTTGTTATTACAGGTAAAAGGTGGTTCTGCAAGGGAGACATTTACAGTACTGCTGAGAGATGAAGGTTACAAGTTCTGGTGGAAGGGGCTGACAGCAAGATTACTACAGAGTTGTGTCTCCTCTGTTCTCATCCTTAGTTTGTATGAACCACTCAAACGCTGGAGTCTTAAGGAAGAATATAGAGAGTCTTTCAAGTGGTGATAGTTGTTAGAATTATAAGTACGGAATGATAAATTCTTGTAAATAGTTTTAAAAAAATTTAGAAGACATTAGGGATACATTTCTCTGAAAAGTTTTTGATTATAGAGATTTTTTAAAATTTTATTTGTAGATGATTTTTACAAGGGTAATATTTATAGAGAATGGTTTTAATAATTAATTTTCAAACTCCGCTTATTATTTAGCTCAATAATTCGAAGAATGGGAGAGAGCTATTGTACTCACTTTAGTATTATCATAACACTTTGGTTAATCTTTTGTGTGCAAAGTGGCTCCAAAATTACTGAAGAGAATGTGTTGAAACTTCAACACACTTGTTTTTTGTGATTATCGAACATAATCGGTACATGTCCCAAAACTCTGAGTAACCCTTTTACAGGGTTATGTCCCTTTCCTTACTGTCAAGCATTGAGAATAGTCGAGCCTGCTGTTACAGACAGCTTTTGTTTTTAAGATGCATTATGTTAATTATCTTAACAATGTTTCAGAGATGTTTTCATAATTATACTGGTAGAAATTTGTTCCTTGTTTTGTTCTTTTGATACATGCTATAATATTTGTTTAAGGTATGATATTTGACATGTTATTAATCAAAGATATAATTTGAAATTTAGTATGTTACATTGACTTGAAGTCTCATATGATATAATATTGATAAATCCTTAATTGATAGTTTTCTGTATTATAAGTAGATATATTAGAACATAAAACTGGACAAACTGTTTATGATTTGCTGTGTTCTTGTACACAACACTGTTACATAATCTTTTATAATTGTATTCAGTTACTAAAATCATGATTTTTTCTAGTATTACTAATTTTTTTTTAAGTACTTTCTTAGTTTTATGTATAAAAAACCCTTAAAAGGACTACTCCAATGAGGTTATTTTTGACATGATGAGACTGGAATTTTTTAATTATTTTTATATCAATGATGTAGCTGTATACTGATAACACCTGTACAAAATTTAAGATCCTTTGCTCCATTTTGCTTTTCCAAAAAATCATTTTTTATTATACAATATGACTAAAATGAAAAGTGATTAAATGCTTTAAACCCAATTTGGCTAGGAAATCACACTAAATGTTTGATTATAATTTAATTCTTAATAATTTCTTTATTCAAAATACTTCCTATGTTATTCTGTTTTTAAATACCCTTGTGGATCTATGTTAGATTTTAAAATTTTATGTTTTTTAGGGCTTTTGAACTCGTGTGGAGCTAGCTCTTTTAAACTGAATATGCTGGAACTTTTCAAGCTAATTTATCATTAATGAAATGTAAAACAAGCAAACATTCATGCATGAGGAAAATAAGATATTGCTCTTTTTTGCATTCATATATTGGAATACAAAATTATAATAATGTGAAGAAGTCTTGTCTATGATATATGAGCCGTGTCATGACAAAACCAACATAATGGGTTTGCGACTAGCGATGGATCCAGACCAGCCTGCGCATCCGCGCAGTTTTGATCGCAAATGCACTATGTTGTCCATGCTGTTCGCTATCAGTCTTCTTCTTGTAATAGACTTGGTAAGCGAACAGCATTGATCCTGATCAAGACTGCGCGGATGTGCAGGCTGGTCTGGATCCATGCTGGTCGCAAAGCCATTATGTTGGTTTTGTCATGACGCGGCTCATATGTATTAAATAAATGTAATGGTGAACATTTGAAGAGGTATTATGTTAAGAGTTTAATGTTAGACTGCTAAACATGCAGACTTAGGTTAAAATTTTTGTTTGAACAATGTCTTACATGTATTTTACAGCAGGTGATTTGTTTGAAAATTAAGGGCATTATAGCTTGTTTTTTTAACTAGAATTATGGTTTATTTGCAGAATGTTTAAATCAATTGGTGTTTTAATGGATAGATGTAATTTGCTTAATATCATACAATTTTACATTGTATTAGGAGACAATATTTAGCAAAATTCATCATTTTACTTTGATTCATATGTCATTTACATTTCTGAAAAAAAAAAAAGTTCCTTGCTTTTTTTATACTCTAGATTTTTCTTTTTATTTGCATCTATCCCAGCAAACTCTTTTTTTCCATTTAATTTGCTGTAATTGTGAAATTTGCTTACTATACCAGTATATTATTATAACCAGATTATTGTTATAATCTACATGTATCTAGTACAATTTTTATTTGAGCCGCGTCACGACAAAACCAACATAGTGCGTTTGCGGCCAGCATGGATCCAGACCAGCCTGCGCATCCACGCAGTCAGATCAGGCTCCATGCTTTTCGCTGTCAGTTTCTCTACTTGTAATAGAGTTGGTAAGCGAACAGCATGGAACCTGAACAGACTGCGCGGATGCGCAGGCTGGTCTGGATCCATGCTGGTCGCAAACGCACTATGTTGGTTTTGTCGTGACGCGGCTCATTTCATTATTACTTCATTGATGTCACTACATGATAAGAACTACTCCTCCTATAGAATGAAAAGAGTCATTCCATCTTATGATCTAGGTCACTAAACTTACATCATAAATGTCACTACAAAACAAGGATAATATCATCTTTTTCACTTCATAATGATAATTACTTAATCTATGTCTCTACAAAACAGGTGTTACATCATATATATCACTAAATCCTGATAAATACTTCATCTATGTCATTATTTAACAATTTATAACTACCAAATCTTTGCTGTTTAGTTAAAAGTGTTCGAATCTGTCTTGTCGGTAAGCTTGTATGTTAGCGTTTAATAGTCAGCATTTAACTGATATTACATATGTCCGGCCTTGTGCAGTCCCACGACAAATTTAATGACAATAATGCTCAAGAAACAAACACTAACATACAAGTGGTTGAAGTTTTGTTTTAAATGTTACCATCAAGTAGGCACAGACAAGTTGATTAAATGGGATACGATTAAGTGAAAGTTGTTGCAGATTGAAAAAACTAAATTTACCACAGTATTGTAAAGATGATGCAAGCTTATTATACAAAATATATTTAAATCACTGATACACATATATGTAGGCTTTGTTGTTTGTCTTAATAACTTCTTGACTTGCAATAATTTACCAAGCCATCTTTGGTCTTTCCAGGGCAAAGAGGCTGGAATATTGCCATATTTGTATATTTGACTAACAACTAACAGGAATATATTATTAATTAATCAAATACAAATTGTAGCAGATATTTTACAGTCTTGTATGTTACATTTGAAAATTGTCATTTGTGTTTAGATTTTCTATAGAACTGTGTATAAATTAATTTTGTTCAGAATTAAAAATCAGGAAGTGTTGTAGATTATATTAAAATATTTATTTTGTGCGAATGATTGTATGTATAGTATAGATGGAAGATAGATTATTTATATTGTTTCTCTTACACTGTCTTAATTTGAAATGTATCCAAAATGAATGTGTTTTTTTAAATGTTTTAATTCTTGATATGTAGAATCAAGGGAGGTAACCTGTATCTTAAGTCAAGAACAATCACTACACAGTTATGTGCACATTATCCAGAAAATAGAATTGTTCAGTAAAATAATTCTTACTAGTATTACATTTTACCTTTGTTTATTTCACTGTATAATCAAACAAGAGTATTTTGTGATAATGTCACCCTTGTTGATAATGAACTCTTATTCTGCTGGGATCTTATGGCAGTTATTTGAAACCATTTGTAGTTTTAAAAATCAGTGTAAATTTTATTACAGTTTTTATCCCAAAGAATGATAAGATTGGTAGGGCATATTGTGTTTATAATCTGTCAACTTGTTTGTCTGTAATAAACTGAAACCTTTATTGTAACATGAAAGTCCTTATCACCTATAGCCTCCAAACTTGACAAATACATTCTTCTTGATGAACTCCACCCACCAGACCTAGTTAGAAGTCAAGGTCACTACCATGGTGCATACATTCAACTGAACAAAGTGCTTGTTGATTTATTGTATTCAAAATAGTAATTGCAAAGATAATGTATGAAATATGATGTATCTTTTATATTCTACATAAAGTTACCTGAAATAAATTCCATTTTTATGCCCGGCCATAAAATGATGGGGGCATATAGTGTTCGTGTCCACTTTTACAGTCTACTTGCATCATGATTGATCTCCAAAAATATAATGGTACAAAGATACCACCAAAAGTAGACCGTTGTTACCTGTGCGTAAGACCAAAGTCCCTGTGCTATAGCCAGGTTCGCACAGGGGATTGCTTATTTGTTAGACCTAAGTCAGGTAGTGTCTTGGTCCAGCCGTTTGCCTGAAATTTCTTTATGATGGAATTTTGAAATAGAATTGTTACTTAAGACCATAATGAAGTTATTGTATATCTGTTCTAATTCCAGGCCCAACTGAAGTCAGGTCAAAAGGCATAAAAAAAGAAATTCCCCTCAAAATAGTTGAAAAAGTGCTGTAAGAGTTTTTGTTCTAGCCATCACATCTGCATGCTTAATGGGATTTCAAAATAAATTGTGGACTTGATCATAATATTATAAGCTACTGTGTTGTGCACAAGAATTATGTCAATAGGTCAAGTGTCAAGGTCAATCAAGGGCTTTAACAAAATGTTTTGTTATACAGTTCTACTTGTAGCTGGAGTTTGTGAGTGGTACATACTTTCTGCATACATGATGGGGTTTTCATAACAATTTGGTACAAATCATTGATACCACAGATGATGTTTTATGCTTAAAACCAATACTTTTACATTAAGGTCAAGGTCATACCTAGAGGTCAGAGACTCATGGTCAAAAGTAAAATGTATTTTTGTTCTTTTTTTTTCTCTCTGAATTAAATTTGCTTATTTCTTGATGAACTGTAATTTACCAGGGTCACAGGGTATGTCATGGGCAACACCCAGGTCAGGGTTGTATTTGGAAGTATAAATATATGGCTTGAGTTGAACACATTGCTAGTTCATGAATACAAAATACTCAGTGGTCTTTTGCTGTTACAGAAATTTCAACCTGTAACAAGATATTTTTAATCAACTTGTGGGGAATCTTTTTCTTTTCATTGTATTGATTATTCATGTTAATATTTTGTTTTTACTGGTTTTTATGACTGAAAATGTTTATTTTTTGGCTCACATGAGCACAATTTGTACAAGGTGCACTATTGTGATCACTCTGTCTGGCCTCAACAGTTTACTTGAAACAGCATTCTCTTCTAAACTCATTAGTGGTGAAACAATGCAGGAATGATCTGTTAATTGTTCTCTATAAATTTTTTCTAGAATTACTCTGTTCTGCTGAACAAGAAAACAAGAAAAGCAGCCAGAGCTTGAAATGAAAAAATCTTTTTGAAACATCTTTTCCTCTAACACTTGACAGATTGAAATTAATAAAATGGTTTGGGGAAAATTTCTGGGTTTTAAATTAAATAAAAATTTATTTTTGATGGTCTTTTTAAAAACATGTTTAATGATTTCCCTGTGATTAAAAATATAGTCTTTAGATTAAACCTTTTTTCCATCACAGCCATTTTGATTTGGGGCAACCTGATGAAAACAATGGGGAAATTTTATTTGAAAAAAAAAATTCTTGTTCAGGGAAACCCAATATTTTTCCTCGGGTAACGGATTAAGGCCCCAATCAGGGGCCTTTTTGTAAGCTGAAACAAAACAACTAGGTAATTGGTACGCAATTATGTGTTGTTTTTACTAGTATATGAAGTTTTTGCATGAAATAGTGTAAGGTTTGACATTCAAATGTAACAATAATGATTCAACCCTTTAAATAAAGAAAAAGAAAACTGTTTTATTTTTATTAT